CAAATGCTTAGTAGGATCTTGTCTTTGTCTATTGAACTGTCAAGATTTAGACGGCCATGTGCTATACCAGGCGCCAAATTTCGCGTTGAGGTCACTTGTGATTATTTTAACGCGACAAAACGTTGACAACCGACTGCCAGCACTCATAGAAACCGCTTTTGTTGATATTACCCAGAGGGTATGTCAGAGAATAGGCGATAGTGACATCTAGCTTACCTGTTTGATAAACACGTGACAGACCAGGAATCTTTCAGAAACATAATCCATCTAAATGTTTGTTTGGCTTACAATATGGGGCAAGAAGATACCGACATCTGCACGGCGTAATCTACTGCGTGCCCTGGCCGCAAACATGACCATCCATCCTGCAGATACTGCGTTCTCTTTCCCGAAAAGTCGGCTTCTGTTGCCGCCAGTATATCGAGTTTGTAATGACGGGCCTTGTAGATGAGTTCGTCTAACTTGCCTTCGCCGGACATGGAACGAACGTTCCCACTTGTAACGTTGACTGCTGGAATCATAGATTTCTTGGTTATTGTCTAGCAAGCTGCGAGCGGAAACCACTCGTTGTGCAACTCATTTCCGCGAGAGCAATTAATTCACCGCCGGTCGCTAAGGAATAAATTTTACAACTGTCTTTAGCCTTTCGCACTCTCAAATTGCCCTCTTAGTCGTGGAGTACGGAAGATCAAACATCTGCCATAGTAGGTAAAGCACTGTTTTATTCCAAATTACACCAGATACAAACATTTCTGGTACAGAATCAAGGTTTCGGCTGATGTTACCAGCCCTTTTCACGTGCATGCAATCACTCTGATATGCAGAGTTGCTGTAGCACGAGATAGACAAGATACATTTACAATTGACTTTCTTCTCTTTTTCTGTAAGTTACACAAATTACGCCTTGAAAGAGATGCATAAACTCTTTCATCTCTGTTCTTGATGTTGGGTTATGTTTGAATTAAGAGCGTTTCGGCAACTAAGGTTCTTTTTAGCTCCAAGCAGTTGTTACTCTTGTTGGGCAGTTAAAATCGACATCATGACTAGTGGAAAGATGGTGGAGGACTGCTTCCGAGCGTTTTTCCAAAGCACAACTTTTTTATGTCGTTAGATGCATGATGGACGCTGCACTCTTATATTCTGCTGTTCTAGTTCATAGTTCCTGGTAGTTTAACCAATATATGATAGTTGGCAATCTGAGCAGTTTATTAACTTAATTGCACAGTTCTTTTCTTCGTTCGCTTCGCTATTTGGTTATTTGCCTTCGTCAATTGAAATCTTAATTTTTCCTTCGGTCTGAAGACTTTCCTGATGTTTACTCTTTTTCAGCACACATCTAATCTGAAACGAACATGGGAACATGGGGAATGCCTGCGATAGATATAGGAGCTAGCAGATAAGACACTGTGATTTTCGTGTTTTCCGAGGATCATGGCACTTCCTGTAACCTAAGTTAATTTACGCTTCCTTCTTTTCACTTCAACCATATTTCTACCACAGAAATGATACACTTCTAGAGAATTTAAAGTCTCCATTAATAAAGCGCTTTGAAGCAGCTCATAATGATCTTTTGGGCCGGCTTCAAATGATAAAACTCTAGTTCATGATAATCGAGAAAGTGAAATGTTTCGCTTGAAAGGTGTCGATGTGATGCGACAAATGTAAGTCGGATATGTGGGTGCCACGCTTGACGCGAGTCTCAAGTAACGGAGTACGTCACATGCAGATAAATGGTTCGACGTTCAAACGGAACTTTTGAGCCTTTACCCGGTGAAAATTACGATTTTCGGTAGTGAGCAGCAGGCAATGATGGGCTGATAATAATTACATCCAATTGCTAGTGAGCGTTCATGAAATACAGTAATGCTATCATAATCAATTTGACGCATTTAGCTACTACTATTCTACTTCTTCTACTACATTTAACTACTAATTACTTGTCTACTTTAAATTCATAATAGCGCTTAGCGTTAGCGCCACGTCATTACTTTTAGACGCCTAGTGGCATCATCTAAGCAGACCATGGTTCAATAAATTCTCGCACCACTTTACACTGAATTCCTGCAAGATTCACTAACGGCAATCTTTCAAAAAATTGTAAACAATGGCAAGCAGAACTGTTTTGACAATTATATTGCAAGTTTGTATTTTTAAGTTCTATCATCACAACAAATTTAAGACAAATTTGACAGATTCTAACCTGTGAAATGGATAAACGCCGAAAAATAAAAAATGGTCCCTTGAAGAAGAAAGGGTGGTTAACGTCTGCCCAGTCACCATTAATTACTTTCCGGCTGAACATCACATGAATCTGCATTTAGAAGAACCAAAAATTATAACAATCG